TAAAGCTGTCAGGTTTGAACACCCCTGGGTTTTTTTTCTCTAAAGGGTTAGGGGTGCAAGGGTCTTGTAACTCGACAGCTTTAAGACTTGTGTGCTTTGAATGGCAGAGTTTCTGAGCCAACATTTTGGTTGCTAAGCAAGAGCGTTGTTAAGTGAGTTTCATCACATTTTACAAGTTGGCCACGCCCACCCAGTCACATGGCCGGCAAGCCACTCCCACCCAGTCACATGGCCGGCAAGCCACTCCCACCCGGTCACATGGTTGGCAAGCCATTCCCACTCAGTCACATGGCTGGCAAGCCACTCCCACCCGGTCACATGGCCGGCAAGCCACTCCCACCAGGTCACATGGCCGGCAAAACACTCCCACCCGGTCACATGATTGGCAAGCCATTCCCACTCAGTCACATGGCCGGCAAGCCATTCCCACTCAGTCACATGGCTGGCAAGCCACTCCCACACGGTCACATGGCCAGCAAGCCACTCCCACAAAGCAGGCCACACCTACAGAAGAGGTTCTAAAAAAAATTGAAAACCCACCACTGTTTCAATCCCTCTCAATTCTCAGGAATTCTACGGATCCAGATAGGTTTTTGTTTCCATATCCATCAAGCCGTCTAAAGAGTTATGACTCCAAGGAGTCTGTGGGGATTGCAACAAGTGCAGACAAGATCAGGTTATTGAGTCATAAGGCAAGTGAGCAGGCATGCTTCATCAATCAGCAGCAACAATAACCCAACACCCTACATACAACATCCATGTGGTCGTCTTGACAACAGTCAGGAAGAGGTTGGGCATCTCCATGAGTCCGGTTCCTTCTGTTTACATCGTCCTCTAGTCCTCTGGCCTGGTGCTCTGGCCATCTTTATGCCAAACGTTAGCCAGGCCCAACTCTCATCGCTTTCCCAGGTGTGCCCAACGGTGCTTGGTGAAAAGGCAAATGGAGTTTGGTTTTTTCTCTTTGGAGATCTTCTTCCCTGATGAAACATCTTGGATAGGAACCGAAGTGGGTTCCTACCGGTTCGGAACGGTTTGGCCAAAGTGGTAGTGGTATGCAGGGCTGGGTCGCAGAACCGGTAGTGAACCTCTGGCTGGCCACGCCCCTGAACTGGTCCGCCCATTTGAACGCTCGCCGTGCCTCACTTTTGGCACATGCATCCACAGCCTCTTCCTACCTACACACACGGGTAAGCATTGCGGTAGATGAAGTAGGTAGATCTTTGTTATGTAGAATAGACTGGACGTTTTTAAGATGTGGGAGAAACAATTTGCCTGAAAGGGTGTAGGGTTTCCTGCCTAAGCAGGGGGTTGGAATAGAAGACCTCCAAGGTCCCTTCCAACTCTGTCCCTGTTGCATTTCTTAAAGAAATTGACTCCGTTTAGTCCCTGGCCTTCTTTACAACGGTGTCTTCCTCCCTGCAGCCGACTCTTGCGAAGATTGAAATTATCTACGGGAAGATCTGAGTCCCATCAACAGGCCTTTCAACGGCTTCCAAGGAATCTGAGGAGCTGAACGTCCCCACCCAAAAATTGTCACTCGCAATGACATCTCTGATTGGCTATTGGGGCATCTTGCCCACATGCAAAGTTTATAGCCGGGCAGTTCAATTGCTTTTGTGAACCGGAATAGTAGCTTTCTACATCTCCACTCATCATGGGGATAAAATCATCATCTTTTTACACTACGTGATGGGACAGATCATGGAAAGTCAGAAGAATCTTAACACTGAACTGTAAGTTTTGCTATTAAGGAAGGGAGGGAGTGTATCGGGAGAGAGGAGTGGTAGAGGGGGAGGGGAAGTGGGGTAGAGGGGAA